GCATGCAAAGTTTGCATTTGGAGCGCTCAACAACGCCATTAGATCAGTGGGCTCTGTCGGTGCTTTGGCAAGGTAAAACTTTTTTTTGCCATGCAATAAAGCTAAGTTCAAAGGCCAATTTAAAATATTGGTACAGTAAATAAAGTGCACAAAATCAATATTTTGTTTAGCACATTTGTCCAAATATTTGTGGCAGATTTATCCAAAAGAAGTGGAGAGATTAAAGGTGAAGAAACTGCATTACATTGACCAATATATCAATAGTCAAGATTTGTATGATGATGCAGTCATTTTATGTAAATAGAAATGCTAACGATAACTTTCTATGCTGACATTCTCCTTCAACTGTTAGTCTCTTAAAAACTGCTGCATGGAGACTCTCAGTCTCATTGAGGTACAGAGGACCGGAGGGAGAACCAGGAAGAGCAGGATGGTCATCAAACAATCCCTGGAAGAAGTGGAACTGAAAGATGACGTCAAACCAGATGAATTTAACACAAAGAGCGCAAAACTGAACCATACAGACACACTACCACAAAATAATACAAAAGAGATGGCCTCCTTCTCGATGCTAACTGTTACACAATCTCTCAGTTCAGCAAAGGACTCTAAGGAGCCTGGAGACAGTGCTAAAGACAAGACAAAGACAATTGAGAAGCAATTTCTACAGCATAATGTGACTGAAAGACTTAAATACCACATAGACAAAAAAACACATAAGAAAACTATAAAAGAAGGTAAGAGCCATCACATTAAGACTGACACAAAGGAGCAGATGTCTGGATCTGAATGCGTGGAGCTTGGACAGTGTGGAGTCCCAGACTCAAAGTCTCCTCACATAAGAGGGCCGCTGAGGGGTGAGAGGATACCCATACCACATACAGATGAGGCTGTGTGGGCAGCAGGCGCTCTGGGATTCCTCTTGGTGCTCCCCACCCTGTCTGTGCTCCATACACGCCTCTATCGCCACTGTCGATCTTCAGCCAGTCTCTACTGGCACGACAACCAGCAAGACTATGAGAATGTGGGTGGTGAGTACACACTACCAAGTTCTTCATGTTGCACAAACCATTTATTCTGTTACTTTCCCAAAGATTTAGACTTATGAGAGGTGACGTGTGTTTTCCAGACATTATCCGGAGGAGGCTTAGGATGGTTGGCCGGAGGAAGAGGAGGAGCAGCCAGAGCAGGAGACAGATATCTGCACTGCTGTCTAACTCCAGCAATGGTGAGATCTCTGACTAATGGACAAGACTGGTGAACACTAGAAATCTTACAAACTCTGTTGGAATATCTGCCCAATCTTGTGGCACTCATGAAGTAAATATGGACCTTTTTATGAAGCTAAGGATAACTTTTGTCCACATTCAAGACAATACTTCAAAAAGACAATTTCTCTCTGGTATTTCATATAGTGACAATTAAGTGATAAAGGTTAATTTTATTTCTACAGACAGTTTTCTCCCATTCAGTTTTAACTTTTACACATTGTGTATCTTGAGTGTTGTGTTGTCTATTATTGTTGTTAGCATACTGGTAAATTAAAGTCGCAATGAAATGGAAGTAGCGAAAGATCATTTCTTTCGGATTGTGACGTACATCAAAGTGTAACGGATTACCAAAAAAGACAAATGTAGGGCAGGGACTTGATTCTATCCATCAGTTGTTCATTAGATTTTGATATATGGGTATTGCGTTCAAAAGTGAAGGCAGAAAGACATATTTCAATGAAACACATGTATGGATGATTTTAAAGGAATGTGGAATGTTTTGGTCACACTACAGCATTAGTTTCCTGCTTAGATGTTACTTTATCTGATGGTAGGATTTTAAAATGCTGACATTATTTACTCACCCTCATATTGTTCCAAACCTGTATGACTTTTTTTTCATCTGTGGAACACAAAAAATAGGCATTTTGAAGAATGTTGGAATCCAATCAGGTTTAGTGACCATTGACTTCCATTCCAAAGAGACATTTCTAAAAATATCTTATTTTATGTTCCACAAAAGAACGTCATACAGTTTTGCAATGACATAAGGGTGTTTTTGGGTGAACTATCTCTTTAACTGGGTCAGCAGGCATTTGTGATAAGTTCAAGAGGTCCTCGCTGCAGCCTGCTATAGTGGCCACGCCCTGAACTCTCGCTGTTGGCCGCGCGGCCGCGGAGGTATGCAGTTGATAGGGAGAGGTAGATATATATGGGTGGGACATCCTACCGAATGCAATGATTGGACGAACATTTTATGGTCCTCCTGAGACTTCCCCAGAAGATATATGTATACCCTACCTTTAATATATTTATTTAGCAAGGATGCATTACATTGGTCAAAAGTGACAGGAAAATAATTTATAATGTTACAACATCATGGTTTCCACAAAAATATTAGGCAGCACATCTGTTCTCAATATTGGTAATGTTTCTTGAGCACTAAAACTAAATATTAGAATGATTTCTGAAGGATCACGCAACACTGAAGACTGGAGTAATGACTGCTGAAAATTCAGCTTTTCCATCACAGGAATAAATTACATTTTAAAATATACTGAAATAGTAAACAGTTATTTTCAATTGTAATAATATTTCACAATATTAGTTTTTACTGTATTTTTGATCAAGTAAATGCAGCCTTGGTGACCATAAGAGATGGCTTTAAAAAACTTTTTTTAAATTTTTTTTATTATTTTAATGACTACAATCTTTTGAGCAGTAGTGTAAATATCCTTTACTCTTCTGTTTATTAGGTTCTAAATATTGGGTGGTTCAGACACTGGAGTCAAAGAGCTATTATGGCTACATTCTATGAGTTTGGATTTCCATAAACAGTAAAACAAATAGATTCTGCTGTTCATATGTGAACATGAAAAGACCTATTTTTTCACAGGAGACTACTATTTCAGGTGTAGTCAAGTGTAAAAAATGTAAGTGTAAAAATTGCTAAATTTGACAATTTCCTTCCAGAAAACAAGTTTATCAGATAACGCTCATTTCAGACATTTACAGAGAACTAACATTCCCCCCCTTTTTTTGTTTGTGGTTATGATGAGAAAAGAAATGTGATGGATCCTGGATTTCCAAGGAAAATTCATAAGGATTGGCCCAGCATTGTTGGGAAAGTGGATGCAGCTTTTGAACTCGATGGTAATGGACTGTATAATTATTTTCTCTGTAAAACATTTTTTCCCTGGAATTATATGCATGCTTTTTCTCAACAGGACATGTTCACCTCTTCTGCAGATCAAAGGTATTTATCTTCAGCCATCTGAAAAGACGTTTGCTACACATTATGAACACTAATGCTTGGTTTGGCTGCTAAGAGTTGATAAATGAGAAGAACTGTTCACAAGAAGTACAGGAAGGAAATGTGTGATTGACTACTGTACCTCATATCACATGTTAAATAAGTTTCGTTGTACAGTATCAGGAGTTATTTGAATCTTTCATGTGTTTACAGAATCGTCAGTGAATGAATGCATTTCCTCAAATTATAGATATTCAGTATCTTTGAAAACAACCATTTCATATTTGTGATTGCATTATGCTTTAAAAATTAAATGCACATACAAGCAGCATGCTTTTAAAATAATTTTGAACATCAAGCATCAAACATTTTGATCATTATTAATAAACTACAGTTTAATAAATAACTTAGTTAAAAATAAAGATTTCAGTTTTTTTTTTCCATGTAATGCAATAGAAAAAAACACTTGGTTCCCCAAAGAACCAAAATAAAATAAAATAAAGGAATCTTTATATTTAAGAGTATATGTGAGATTATTAGCAAAACAATACTAATTTTCACTTCACTTTTAGTTCATGGGTGTCTAAAGTATTATGTTGCTATTTAATTTTATTATTTGCATTTCAATTTACACCTAACATTTGACACCTAAATGTACATTGAGAGAAATACATTGATGCAGTGCTGGCCTGAAAGTCATGAGAAAAAAGGGCAAAAAGAACAACTTATGTAAAAGCACTAAGATTGGCATCTCTGATATATGATCTGATCTGATATGACTTGACCTAAATAGTTTGGATTAGCTATCAAAATAACAGCGTATATGAGTACAGAGAATGTTAAACTGCTAGGAAAAATTATTTATTGTTGCCTCCAGTGCTTACAGGACCTTGCTTGCCCTTATTTCATCCCCATTTTACCTCACAAGCCACAATACATATCATATATAAGTGCATTCAATTGGTTTACCAAAACATGTTGAGTAACAGTATATAAGATCATTAATTTGTGCTCACCATGTATTTATTTGATTAAAAATACAGTAAAAACAGTAATGTTGGGAAATAATATTACAATTTAAAATAACTTTTGTATTTTAAAATATTTTAAAATGTAATTTATTCCTGTGGTGGCAAAGCTGAATTTTCAGCAGCTATTACTTCATTCTTCAATGTCAGATGATCTTTTAGAAATCATTCTAATGATGCTGATTTGCTGCTCAAGACTCGTCGTATTATTATCAAAGGAAATGTATAGCTGTTAAAGGAAAATGAGACTAAGGTGTTTAGTCAAGCTGGGCATATGCAATTGCTGCAGGTCTATTCCAAATAAATATGCCATAGCTGGACATAGTAACACAGAATCAATTAAAACATATTAAATAATTCAAAAAATATTAAATCAAATATTGATTTATTAAAATACATCATATAATAAACCATCTAAAGGACAGAAAACAACAACGTTCATCTTCTCTATCCATAATGTAAAGGAAGAATACCACCTAGAGGCTGTACAAAGGAAATCATCTCTCTTGAAAATGTTCACAGAAATGTAGTCACATGGTGCAGTTGATGGAAAACGTCCATTTAAAGAAATAAAATGACAATGAATTCATTAACAGCTGTTGCAATGGAGCAACTGAACTGACACTTTCACATATGTAGTCAAAAATGACAGTTTAGTCTTAAAATTATTTTCTTGTTTGTTTTGAAGAGTGCTTAATCTGGGCCTGTATATGAACATCTTTAATGTATGAATATAATTATTGGGCTAATATGGTGTATATGTACAATATCTCACATTCTGGATGTAAAACAGAAAGCAGCTATTCAGAATGGGTCCTCAGCTGAATAGATCTGTTTTATCGCTCTCAGTAGCACACATGGCTTGTTATGTCCCTGAAATGGTGGCAAGCAGCTCGGCTCGTCCCCAGCGTCATTACTCATCATAGTGCAGGGATGACAGGAATTTGTCTACATCCAAGTCTTCAGGAAAGGAGTCCAGCAGCTTCTTCTGTTTCTGAAAAATAAATATGAATTCAGCCGAACAATGTCAACATATCAGATGATGCATACTGAGGTACACAAATAGACAAAAATGAGTCAGACTTCTCTAATTGGCTGGGCTACCGTGAGCTGACCTGCGGTCTACTGCCTACTGTTATCTACCCAGAACACATACTAAATTAATGGTATAGGTACACAAGTGGAATAAATAACTGGTCTGAGTGAGATGCTTATTCTTTTTTTTTTTTTTGGTAATTACATTAAGCCACTTGCACATGACTCAAGTGACTTGATTCAGATTTTAGCATTATATATACTGTATAGTAACCTATTTAGTACTACTTCGTATTAATAGGGAGTAGTTTGTTATATATTAATATTTATTAAATTAAAATAGAAATAAATTGATTAAAATATATATATAAAACAATTCTAAAAACATTGTTATAAATATATAATAAAAAAAAAATGGCAATATTATGAATATTTGTTTATACAAACATATATACATGTATACAATTATTTATTAGGGCTGTCAAACAATTAATCGTATCCAAAATAAAAGTGTGTTTACATAATACGTGTGTGTACTGTGTATATTTATTATGTATATATAAATACATACACATACATGTATATATTTAAAAATAGGCTAAGATATGTTACTAGGTTAAGGTGCAGTCAATCTTTACAGTTTTTAACAAATAACCAATAAAATATCAGCTCACCTTTGATTTCTTTTTACTGCTTGAGGAGCTGGAAAGCTGTAGCTCTTTCTTTGCAGGAGGGCTCGGTTCAATTTGCTTTCGTTTCTTTCCTTTAGGAATGGCAGATTTCCCAGCACTGGCCTCCTCTTGACGCAAACTGTCTTTCAGAGGACCTCCTGTCCTGGCGGCGCGTGACAGGATCATGAGAGTGTGGGCGGCCATGTTGATGCTGTTCTCACTCCCCGCCTCGCTGGCAGGACTGCAGGAGGGGATATCAGGGGTGGTG